CAGGGGGCGCAGCGAACTCAGGCTCCGGCTGCTATCGCCCCGCCCACGCCACCATCCAGGGCTTGGCCTCCCAATTGTTTGGGCAGCCCGGGAGAGCCGATTTGCTGCTGCCAAGGCCCCGTCCACCCTTGTCCCCAACAAAGGCTCGCTGCTCCCCTAGTGGACGTGATGACAACCCCCTTCCCGCAGTCGCTGTCCCTGGTCCTTGCCTCTCCATTGGCCTCCCCGCTCAGCTTTATGGGCGCGGTGTCGGGCGCCGGGGAGGATGGGGGCTGATTCACGGCAGCGCCAGCCTCGGCGTGGTGTGGCCTCGGGAAGCACGCACCTCGCTGGGGGTAGGGCAGGGAGGGTGAAAAAGGGCCTTCATTAACAACAGGGAAGTTGTCTGTCCTCTCTGTCCCCTCGCACCTCCGTCCCAGCCCTCAGCCTGGATGTCAGAACGAACGATCTGGGGGAGCTGCGGCCAATTCACTGGGGTTCTGGGACTCCTAGCTTGTGGTCTCGAGGAGCTTGAGGCTGGGAATCAGGAGCTCCAGGGGCTGGGAGACGGCAGTGCAGAGAAGAGGACTGCTGTGGCCACATCAGCAGCTGGGATATTTGCAAGCCGCTGCCACAGGGTAGTGGACCTGGCGCGGGCGCATACAGCGGAGCCCTGGCGCCAGCCCCGGGCCAAGCCAGCAGCTTGATGTGCGCGATCTGCATAGGCCGGCGGATGAGACCGGGTGGCCACAGCCGGCCGCGGGGCTACGCGTCCCGGCAGCAGGTGTGGCGTATCCAGCGAGGCCGGAACGCGGAGCGTGGGCCCACCCGCCAGTGGCGCAGAGCACGCGCCGCCTCTTCCAGGGGCTCCTGGGCGCCCCCGCTGCCATTGCGCCCCCCGGCGGCCGGCGGAGGCAGCGGCACGGCCGCAACACCCTAAGCCGTTTTGCCGAAGTAACGCGCCCTGGCGTCAGACAGCTCGCGGGGCTGCGCCGGCTCCCGTCCGCCGCCGTCCAGAAGGGCTGGTAGGAAGCAGCAGCAGCAGCTCTGGGCTCACGTGTTAAGGCCCACTGGTGGCGGCCCGATGCCAGCGACAGGCGGCGCAGGGCCGGAAGGCCGGCCAAGGATCAGCCGCACTTCTGCCTCCTGCGGGCGGGGAGCTTGAGAGACCACTCTCACCGCGCGCTGTGCACGTCCTCCGCGTTGGGCTCCAGGTTCAAGGCTCCGGCCGCCTGGAGCAAGGTTAGAGGTGGCGCCAGGTGTGCGCGGGGCTCGGCCATGACCTCGCGTACTTCCTGCCTGCCCCGTGGCCGGCCCTCTGTGGTTCCCTCGGTCCTCCCGCTTTCCTTCCTTCGCTCTGGCTCTATCAGCGGCTCGGCCTTGACCTGCTGGGAGCTCTTGCCCTAGTTCTGCAGCAGCCCGTCCAGAGCCCTGCCCTGGGCCCGGGGGGCGGGGGAGCCTTCCAGGCTGGAGGCTCCTGAGGGGATGGCGGGGTGGGGGGTGGGGGGTGTAGTGTGTCAGGGCTCTTGAGGGCTTTCCTGGTTCAGGGTGGTTGTAGCCCTCTGACAGTCAAGGATTCTAAAACTTCAGCACACTGCGGCTAGGATCCTACAATGCTGCCTTTCAGTGATCATATTCTACACTTTTTTTTTTTTTTTTAACTAAAAAAATTTAGGGGGCGCGCCTGGGTGGCTCAGTCGGTGAAGCGTCCGACTTCGGCTCAGGTCACGATGTCGCGGTTCGTGAGTTCGAGCCCCATGTCGGGCTCTGTGCTGACAGCTCAGAGCCTGCTTCTCTCCCTCCCTCTCTGCCCCTCTCCTGTCCACACTCTGTCTCTCTCTCAAAAATAACAGTAAACATTTTTTTCATTTAATGTTTTTATTTTTATTTATTTATTTTATTTTTTATAAACATTTTTTAAATATTTTAATAAAAATATTTTTATTATTTATTTATTTATAATGTTTATTTTTGAGACAGAGAGAGACAGAGCATGAACAGGGGAGGGTCAGAGAGAGAGGGAGACACAGAATCTGAAACAGGCTCCAGGCTCTGAGCTGTCAGCACAGAGTCCGACGTGTGGCTCGAACTCACAGACCGTGAGATCATGACCTGAGCCGAAGATGGACGCTTAACCGACTGAGCCACCCAGGCGCCCCTAATGTTTTTATTTTTGAGAGAGAGAGACAGAGTGTGAGTAGAGGAAGGGCAGAGAGAAGGAGACAAGGTATCCAAAGCAGGCTCCAGGCTTGGAACTGTCAGTGCAGAGCCCGACGTGGGGCTCGAACCAAGAAACTGTGAAATCATGACTGGAGCCAAAGTAGGAAGCTAAACCAACTGAGCCACCCAGGCGCCCCCCCCCTTTTTTTTCAAGTTTTAAAGTTTATTTATTTATTGGAAGAGAGCACACGCACAAGCAGAGGAGGGGCAGAGAGAGAGAGACAGAATGTCAGTGCAGAGCCCTGGCTTGAACCCACGAACTGTGAGATCATGACCTGAGCGGCAATCATCAGTCAGATGCTTAACCAACTGAGCCACCCAGGCGCCCCACATTCTACAGTTCTAATTCCTTCATTCAACTCTGATAGCTCTGAATTCCGGACAGTCTAGGTATGATCCCTAATATCTTCTGGTTAGTGAATGTCTGCTTCCAAAGATTCGGGGATGCTCTGCTTCTGGGGTAAGTGACATCAGGCTTTCAAGAAACAACCTCTGAGCGCTGGTGAAAATCCCAGGGGTGTGGGAGGAGCTAGCCTGAAGAGTCTCTTCCCCAGCTCCTTGGGCCTTGAATGCAAGTCCTGACTCCATCAGGGTCCCCTCTGTTTTCTGTCCGCTTCCGCAGACTTCCTATTGACGTCCCCTCCCCCCAACCTCCTAGCTTCCAGAAAGACATTCAGTCCCTGCCGCCTCTTCTCTCCCTTCACTTATTGCAAATTGTCTTCTGCCTCCACTACACGTGTCCAGTTTACCCACCACCGCATTGTTGTGAAATCCAGTGTGCCTCGTCCCTCCAAGGGGCTCGTCTCTCTAACCTTCCGGAAGCATTGGGCCATGTGGCCTACTCCTCCAAGAGTTCCAAGCAGAAGCCCACGCGTGACTGACTGAATTACCCAGCCATTTACCAAGACCAATTAACCTCTCTGCCTTTTGCCCCGACAAGAGGCTCCTAACGGGCCAGGCATTAAATCAGTCCCCTTCTGCCCATCCTTTTCACCCCAGGCCATAATAAACTAATTATAAACGAAAACGCGCAGGTCCTGTCCCCACTCTAAAATTTTCACGAGGTCCTCATTGCCCTCAGGCTAAAGCCAAACTCCGCATGGGCACAAAACCCCTTCGTCTTCAGCCAGACTGAATCTCTGGAAGGAGCTTAGGAATGCTGATGGGCCCCGGGATTCCAAGGGCCTGGGAGAGGAGTCCCATCTGGTCTCCAGAAGAGAGACTCCTATTCCGGTTTCCTAGCCTAGGACACTCCATTCCAGATGAGGAATCCTTTCTTTTTTTCAACGTTTTTTTATTTATTTTTGGGACAGAGAGAGACAGAGCATGAACGGGGGAGGGGCAGAGAGAGAGGGAGACACAGAATCGGAAACAGGCTCCAGGCTCCGAGCCATCAGCCCAGAGCCCGACGCGGGGCTTGAACTCACGGACCGCGAGATCGTGACCTGGCTGAAGTCGGACGCTCAACCGACTGCGCCACCCAGGCGCCCCGAGGAATCCTTTCTGAGCTTGGGTTCGAGCTCTACTTGGAGCAGGGAGGGAAGATGGAGTCGTTTAGGCAGGAGGTGAGAGTACCAGCAATGAATGGGCTGGGCCCTGGACACGGAGGGGTTAACTCCAAAGCCACTCTCAGAGAATCAATGGGTTACTCACTGCAGAAAGAGGCAGAAGCAGCGCAGGGAGGCAGAAAAGAACCGGGCAGAAGAGCATGCCACCTGGGGGAAATCAGGGACAGAGGAGGAGGAGCGGGAGGAGGAGGGGGAGGAGGCAGCGGCAGGCAGCGGCTAGTGGCTACCCCGGAGGGAGTGCTCCAGTCTGGCTCAGCAGAGGAGGTGCCTTAAAGGAGAAGAGAGAAGTGGGAGGCAGACCTGCACCTGCAGGGAGGCGCCAAGGGGCAGCCACTGAGCCAAGAGGCAGCCTCAGCCTGACCCGTTCACCCAGGATCAAGCAGGGCCCAGTGCCCAGCACTGAGGTGGGTGTTGCCTATTCTGACCTTCAGGGGGCTTGCTGCATGCTGGGGACTGGGGGCGCAGGTATTCCCTTTCTTCCCTCCTCCCTGCCGCCGCCCCACGCCCTTAATTTGTGCCACCATCCCGGAAGCCCCAGGCACGCAGGGGGATCCACAGGTAGTAGCCGATGTGGACCGCGGGGTGGGGCAAGGGTGAGAACGGGCACAGCTGGCATAAATGCACGCGCGAGTACTTGCTCGCGGTCAGAGGCACCACCTGTTACAGGCTGTGGGTGGAGCACTCCAGCCTGGGAGTCAGGGCACCACGGTGGCAGCAGCCCCGATCTGCCACACCAAGGGTGCTATTCAGCCTCCCGTGTCCCCTCTCCGAGTGAGCCCCAATGTCCTCTTGTGCAAAGAGGGGGCAGTGACCTATACGGTTTTCCCAGCTGTGCCACTGTGGGGGCTCTCACCAAAGCGGACTTTGCAATGACTCAGGGATACCACCCATGCTTTGCTGCCTTTGACCCACGTCCAAGAGTCCCCCCTGCGCTTCAAATCCCCACGGGGAAATAAGGTAGTTAGATATACCAGCACCTTGGGTTGGAGCGGCCCCTCCCCCATCCGCCGGGTCCTCACCGCATTCTGCCTGGAGGCGCCCACCTAGTAGTAATCACCTTTGTGCCCTGAGCCCTGGGGGTGTTCCCGAGCAAACGGAGAAACCCACCTCAGACACCTACGTGACTGCCAGGCTTGCCCCGTGGGTCTCAGTGGTCACTCTTGGCTCTGTCTCCCCACTCCCATCGCCATCCCCCATGAGCTTCCCGCCCCACCCCCCCCAGACCTGGCCAGGCCCAAGCTAGGGGCCGGGATCGATCGAGCCCCCGGGGTCACGTGACCAGAGCTGGGGGCTCCTGTCTGAGCACTCCAGCTTCTTCTCCCCAGGTGCCCATCGGAGGGAAAGATGGCTGATGCGCAGAACGTCTCGCTGGACGGCCCGGGGAGTGTGGGGGCCGTGGCCGTGCCTGTGGTCTTTGCCATCATCTTCCTGCTGGGCACAGTGGGCAACGGGCTAGTGCTGGCCGTGCTGTTGCAGCCCAGCCCCAGTGCCTGGCAGGAGCCCGGCAGCACTACGGACCTGTTCATCCTCAACCTAGCGGTGGCCGACCTCTGCTTCATCCTGTGCTGCGTGCCTTTCCAGGCCGCCATCTACACACTGGACGCCTGGCTCTTTGGGGCCCTCGTTTGTAAGACGGTGCACCTGCTCATCTACCTCACCATGTACGCCAGCAGCTTCACGCTGGCTGCGGTCTCGGTGGACAGGTGCGCTGCATCTGGGGCCCGGCTCGGGTGGGCTGAACAGATCTCTTAGGAAGGAGCACACCCCGCCAGGGTGCGGTCACACCTGCTTTCGCGGTTCGACACTTGGGGGTGCAACCCAGGCTCACTCTCGAGCTGACGACCCCCCCGGGGCAAGCCCCTTCCCTCCGAGCCTCTAAGCCAACCCGGCTAGGGGCCAGGCACCGCTCTAAGCGCCTGGCGTGTGGGTTCCCTTCACCCCCGCAGTCCACCCTGCTAGGCTGGTCGCGCCGTCGCTCCGGCTGTCCGGACGCGGAAGGCCAGGCCGCCGGCCCAGAGGTGCGGCCGCAGCGTCCACGCAGGGGCCAGGGCGCGGGTGTGGGCCTCCCGCCCTCCCGCCTGCCCCGCTGACCCGGCGCCCGCCCGCAGGTACCTGGCCGTGCGGCACCCGCTGCGCTCGCGGGCCCTGCGCACGCCGCGCAACGCCCGCGCCGCCGTGGGGCTCGTCTGGCTGCTGGCGGCCCTCTTCTCGGCGCCCTACCTCAGCTACTACGGCACCGTGCGCTACGGCGCGCTGGAGCTCTGCGTGCCCGCCTGGGAGGACGCGCGCCGGCGCGCCCTCGACGTGGCCACCTTCGCCGCCGGCTACCTGCTGCCCGTGGCCGTGGTGAGCCTGGCCTACGCGCGCACGCTGCGCTTCCTGTGGGCGGCCGTGGGCCCCGCGGGCGCGGCGGCGGCGGAGGCCCGGCGCAGAGCCACGGGCCGCGCGGGGCGGACCATGCTGGCGGTGGCCGCGCT